AACGCAACATAAATACCCACGTCTCCCCCCAAAACCCCAAAACTGTTTAAGTTACGGTAACCTGAAATGCACCAGCCATCACCGAGAGCGATTGGAGAAATCCGGCAGTGTTCAGCAGGAAAGATTTTTTAATAACAGATTGAAAAACAAGAATAAAAATAACTACATCAACAGAGCCTTTCTTCCTCCGGCCACAAGCCCGTTCCTACTTGAACTTTTTTTTTTTTTTTAAATGGCATTTTGGCCACTAAAACCAATCCAGAACATTATTAAAAGTTAAAAGCTACCAATTACTTCTGTCTGTTCTTTTAAAGCAAAGTTTGGCATTACGTCAGCTGGTTTAAAGAAAACAAGAAAGAGAGAAAGAGGAGGAGAGAAAGTTTCCTGCTTGTATAAACTAAACCACCAGGGAAGGTGTCTGGCCACTTGTAAAGTATTTACTGCAGGTTTTTTAAAGAGCTAGAGAATATTTTAAAAATTAAAAGTTTTCTCTAATTTTTTAATGAAACATACTTAGGCACGAGAAAGCGTGGCCTTCGCGTCGTCTTTGAAGTGTCTGGAGGTTATTGGTATTTCAATCATAGCTCTCAATCATAAGACGATTTCCAATGATGCTTCACATGGAAAATACATAGATAATGTCATCTTTGTTTTGCTACTTGTATTGGTGCTCTCGAGAAAGAAAAAAAAAAGCGGGATGACAAAACGTAGGCATTGCTAAGTGACCAGATTTCTTCGTCTCACGCTTAACAATTTAAATTATTTTGATCACAGATTCTTCTTCCAATTCAGGGAGGTTGCCTTAACTCTAAAAGTTCTCTTTCTAACCCAAATCGAGCTCTATATTTTTATGCCTATCAGAGAACCAAACCAAAGACCAAGGAACTCCAACTCCCAGGGATCAGAGAGCCACGGGGTGATAGGACAAGCCTAACGATGACCATAAGACCAACCCTGGAGACATGAGAAGGGCCCTATATAATTAATCAAATATCCCACACAAATAAATAAACGGCTAAAGACCCACTTCTACTCCAGGACAAGTTTTTTAAAGTGGCCATTCCCTCAGCAGCCCTGGTTGCTACTGAACAGTAGTATAAAACAACACTTGGCATTTTAGCATATTTACTTTAACCCACTGGTTCAAGTTTTCAGGAGATACATAATTCTGATAATTACCAACACTCTGCTCAACTTTTTCCCCCCCAAAGTAAATGATTACAAAGTGCATGAGACTCCTCTAGACATAAGAAGTACAAACACCCTTAGAGAAGCAGATTACATTTCTACTTGGCAAAGGCTACAAAAGTTCCTTCATATTTTATCTAAGGGGGACCCTGCAATCCCATAAATCATGACTATTACAGAAACAAAAATAATTCACGTCTTTCTGTAGGACATTAAAAGAGCAATGTAGTTAATCGTAAGGTAAAGCCAAGTCTAGATATGCTGCCGTACATCTCTCCACATATCAAATAAAATAAAATAAAAATAGGAAGAAGGAGTAAGCAAGGCTCAGAGTTAGCTATAAGGGGTGTTAGTAGTGAGAGCCAGCAAAAGGGAGAGAGAAAAGAAACCGCAGTTACCTGAAAGCTTCGCCCAGGATGGATAACAGAAAGCAAGTCCATAAAACCTGGCTGCTTTTATCAAATTGATTGTCACTTGTGAGCCGCACTATTTGGGGCAGAACCGTCTGAGTTTATAGTTTTCTCTGCCTGCCAAAAACAGATGCAGACTACCACACTCGCTGTCCTGCGGAAACTAAATTAAGCAAAGGCAAATACCGAGTGGAAAGTTGTCAGTCTGCTGAATGAATGGCTTCATTTTACACACCAGAGGGTATCTTAGGAAGAATATGTTTTAATGCGCACGTCATTTTATTTTAAGAACATCGCTTACTTCAAAAATAATCATTTTCCCTTGAAACTGATGACAAACACCTGCGCTTCACTTTTTCAAAAGCCTATTTTGCTTTGCACACAATAGCATAGGATTGTTATAATATGGTTGGCTATTGAAGGGATAGTAAAGCAACAAAAAAATAAATTGTATATATTTGTATGACGGAAAGCATTTAAAGGCCAGTTACCGATATTGGTGCTCATTTTTTAATTCAAAAGGAAGCTCTAGCTCAAAAACAGTATGCTACAAGTTCTTCTAAAACTTTCAGTAATGTGTATTTACTTCAACAAAGAAGGTAAGACAGCAGTTTATTAAAACTTAGCACCTTCTGGCATTCTTCATAGAAATATGCAGATCCTTAAATACAAATTGTGGCATTTCCCTCTCTGCCTCTTTCTCTCCACACACACACACACACACACACACACACACACACAATAATAATAATAATAATAATAATAAGGATAATATAATAGAAACGTCACTGAGAGACCAGGATCTTAAAAGCAGCTTTTCCACAGCTGCATTCACTTCCCTGTTTTGAAGGTTTTCCTGATGAATGAAGATTTCCTTATGCGAATCTGAGCGACCTACACTGCGGAAATCAGAGTCAACTTAGAAGCAATCTGACTTAAAAGAAAAGCAAAAATAATGCTCAAACCATGGTAGGGGCACATGGACCACCCTTACTATCAGCACACTGATAGAGAGTCTAACCTGTTTTCAAGCAACATTTCTGTAAAATCGCTTAACATATTATCATCCAAATGCTGAGGTCTAAAATCAGCTCAGACTCCTCAGATCTGGGATGCTTTTTCTCCTCACATTTACAGTTACTTTGAGGACACAAAGGACAGCATCGAAATAGCAGCGGAGACCCTCCCAGCGTCCAGAATTCAAAGAGGTGACAAACTTTTTTTGTCATGTTCCACCAGTTGCTGGGAGAGTGTCAGAGTTAGTTATTAGTATGTGCGGGGAAGTATTCTACACACACACACACACACACACACACACACACTAACATATAACAGATATATCGGTAAGCCGCACATATCAGCTCACAGATGGAAAAGAATACTTTGCCAGCAGAGGATGGCCGAAGCTTCGAGAAGCCTCACCTGGAGAGAAATCAAGTCAAGAATGCCGGCAATTCAATTCTATTTCCCCTCAAAAGCTCCCTTTTCACAGGATTCACATCCAGAGAGAATCGTCCGACTTCAGCACGCTAGTGGCCCTGTCTATTAAACCGAACCTGGAGATGGTTTATCCCTTAAAGGAAAGTTTAACTATCTGAGCAGGGAGAAGCTTTAAGCATGGTATTGTTGACGTCTTAAGATGAAGCGTGCGATTAAGAAGCTTTCCCTTCAAGGTAAAAAAAAAAAAAAAATCCTCAAAATGTTGGTATCCTTTCCAGACTGTTCTGTCAGCATCACAACTTACAGGAAATGCTTCATCTTCCCATGCAAACCCTGTATTTATTCACAACCCTGGCATACTTGGGGGAAGAAGAAGAAGAAGAAGGAAAAAAAAAGAGCCCACTCCATTTTCGAGCTGGCTGGCTTTTTTTTTTAACACAAACCGGTGGAATAGCTGAGAAAGTGCTTTCAGCAAAGGAGCCGCCTGGAAGGAACTTGACAACAGGGAGTTCAGAAACTTTCATTCTCATGTCGTCCACGTCAAGAACTGGCTGCGGCATAGCTTGCCTTCGCTGCCCTTGCCTTTCTCACTCCCGCTGCCTTCTTTCCCGAAATGACCAGCTTTTCCTAAAACCAGCGGCAAAGTAACACGATGCCAGTGAGATCCATAGGTTTATAACTAAAGACTTTGGAAGACTGGCTGGAAGGTTCCTATTTTATTTTTATATTTTTTGCCTTGAGCAATTTTTTGCCTTTAGCCTGCAGCTGGGCCTAAGAGTTATCACTTCGGTGTCAATTTTGTCTCGGGCCCTCCCTGGGTTTTCCCTCTGCAAGGAGTAACCCCTTCCCAGACCCTTTCCTGTTCACCTGGTGGTGCGTTTACAAAAGTTCCAGGACTCTACAAAAAAAAGTGCAAGGAATCAGGAATCTCGGCCTATAACGTCTCTCTGCGATTGAACTTCTCCGCTCTAAAGCTTCTCACTCCTCCACTTACCTCACTGAAAAAAAGTCTAGCCGTGATTGTCCAAAATAGGGCAAGGATGAATTACCCTATCCTACTTTTGGGTTCATCCTTAAAGATCCAGCGCTCTGACTCAGACACTTGCCTAGATTATCAATGTTGAGGCCTAGAAAGAGACAGGAGGAAGTAAAGCAAGACCTAGCATGGAATGAGCCGGGATTCCTGCCCCCCTGAAACCCACCAGTCCTTCTGGCCCCCTAACTTCCATCGCTTTAGAGTCTTAGGGCCATAAAACTGCAACTGACTTCCCCAAAGGGGGGGATACCCACCAGGGCACGCAGGTACTAACAAACCAAAACCAGAAGAGAATAAAGTAAAAAATGAAAGCTTCCCCAGCCACAAAAGCAGCTTTGCACTTCCAACACCTCCCACTTCCTCCTCCTCACCCTCAAACTTATGCATGGGGTCCTGCCATCCTGGAGTGATTGGAGGGGGCAGTGGGGTCTGCCTGGGCCTCTCTCTCCACCGAGGAGGATGTGTCTGCCTAGAACCTAAACAGGAACCAGACAGCAGGCGAAGCGCCCAGTCCGCCCGCCCGCCCGCCCGCCGGGATGTCCCACCACCGCTGTCAGGCGTGTCACCACCGGCCAGTGGCCGCTGACCCGAGGCCCAGGGCGCATCGCCCGCAGAGGAAGCCGGCCCCCCTCAGCCCCAGCCCCGACGGAAGGAAGCGCCCGGCTTGCAAAGGCCCTGCCACATGGCACCACGGCGGGGGCACGGAGGACCCCCTAGGACCTGGGTCCAGCCGCTCTGAGCTGCACACAGGCCGGTGCATCCCGGGGATGCGAGCAGAGCCCACAGCTGGGCCTGGAAAGGGGGGGGAAAGTTTGAAGCCTGGCTCTGCAAACTCCTCCAAAGCCTGCGCCCGTCCTGCGCCGTGTTTCCTACATGGGGGACCACGCAAAGGCTCCTCCCGACCCTCCCAAGTTCGCCCCACTTACTACCACTCTGCATGCTGGTGCCTACGCCTGCTCCCCGCTGGCCGGGAGCCCCCCGAAAAGTTGCTGCAGCGGCGGCGGAGGCCCCTCGGGTGCAGCCACCTCCAGCTCCTCCGCTGCTGCGCCCGGGAGGAGAGAATTAAAATCAGCCAGAGAGAGAGAGAGAGAGAGAGAGGAGAGAGAGAGAGGAGAGAGAGACAGCGAGGGGGAGTGGGGCTGCCGCGAGGGGGGAGGGGGCGCCGGCCTGAAACTTCTTTTTTTGGCAAACGGGGATTTGTTTTGCCTCCTCCCCGGCGGCGGCGGCGGCGGCGGCGGTGGCTGCGGCGGCTGAACTTGACCCTCCTGACTCCAGGGGGCTACTTGCCGTTGGAAGCCGCTCTTTCGGAAGGAAAAAAAAAAAAAAAAAAAAAAGGCCTGAGACCGGTGCCGGAGCCCCACCGAAAGGGATCGGAGGTAGAGGAAGGAAGGAAGGGAGGGGGGAAAAAAAGGAGAGATCAGAAGAAAAGACAAGAAATCACACGCGCATTACAATCAAGGAAGAAAGAAGAAAGAAAATGCATGTGTGAAACCCGAGAAGAGCCTGCGCTGGGCTTGCTGCACACTCTCCCTCCGAGGCTGCCTCTGCTTTTTTTTTTTTTTTTTTTTTCTTTTTCAAAGAAAGTCACTTTTAATTCCCAGGGCTCCCGGCTCGCGGCGATCGCCCACGGTCCGCGCTCACACGCGCGCGCGCGCGGGCGCAGCGGCGCGGAGCCACCGGGCCGAGCGCCCCCCGCGCCCCCCGCGCCCCCCGCGCCCCCCGCGCCCCGGCCCGGCCTCCCTCCCCGCCTCCCGCCTTACCTGTTGATTAATCGCCACGAACACCCTCCGCAGCCCGAAAGATGGTGGCGCGGCGGCCAGAGCCATGAACCACCGTCTTCTTCTGTTGTTTGCAGAGTTGATCTTGGATTATTTGGGGGGTTGGAGGGGGGGGGGATTGGAGAGAGAAGGAGGGGGGGGAGAGAAAGGTCTTTCCTGCCTCCCCCCCTTTTCCTTCCCTCCCCCCCTTTTATACAAAAATAAAAGGAGAGAGAGAGAGAGGAGAGAGGAGGGAGAGCAAGAGAAAGAGAAAGGAAATAGAGCAAGGATGTGCCCGGTGCCGGGTGGGAGAGGGGAGGAGGGGGAGGTTGGTGTTGTTATGTTTGGTGTTTAAAATAATTAATAATAATAATAATAATAATCAATGGGGAAGAAGAGAGAGCGATCGGGAGGACGGCGGGGTCTGGGGAGAGGGAGGAGAGAGGAGAGAGAGAGGAGCAGAGGCGGCAGCGCCTAAGAAAGAGGGCGCTTGAGATTGCTGCGCGATCGGGTCTTTATCAGAAATGTTATCGCTTGTCAGGACCTCAGTCTCCGCGCATGACGTCAGTTTCAAGACACCAAACACTATTAATATCAAAGGAGCCTTCGCGGAGGGAAGCGCCACCCCGGCCCGGGCTCCTTAAAGAGACAGCGCGCGCCGTCCCCGCGCCGCCGCCGCCGCCGCCGCCCCGCCCGGCCCGGAGCTCCCCGCGCCGCCGCCGCCGCCCCCCGGACCGGCCCCGCCGCCGCCGCCGCCGCCGCCGCTGCGCCAGAACTTCGCCCGCCCGGGTCCGAGCGCCGCGAATGAGAGCGCTGCGCGCGGCGATGCAGGGACCCGGCTACCTTCCCGCCCCGCCTCTCCTCCCCCTCCTCCTTCTCTTCCTCCCCCCCATGTGTGAACGTGCGGGCTGCAAACCCAGGAGAAAACCCCAAAGCTTTAAGAACCACCTGGTCAAAGATAAGGACTTACCTTGGGAGGGGGGTTGGGATTGGGTGAGGGGAGGGGGGGGCAGGTGGAGGGGGGCGCCAGATCGTGGGTCCCCAAAACACTGGGAGATGCTCTCAGGAACAGTCCAAAGAACTCTTTAAAAAAAAAAAAAAAAGTATGCTTTTACCTTTTGGGGGTGTTGGTTACTTGGCCTTCTTCCTCCCAGTTAAAGGGACGCAGGATGTGTGTGTGTGTGTGTGTGTGTGTGTGTGTGTGAGGCCCCTCCCTCGCCCCTTTTCTGGGGCAAGAAGAAGTCTCAGGGCACCTAGCCTAGCCTGGGGTCTGTGTTTCCCATGCATTGGATGGCAAAGTGAGGCTGAGAACTTGAACTCTATCCTGAGTTGCAGAAGTGGCAGCCTCAGGTTGCTATGGTTTTGTGGGCTTGCGGAGGGGGGAGGGAGGGAGCGAGCAAGCCCTGTGGGTGCTTGGGGGGGGGGGGGTGCCACAAAATAGATAAATTGGGAACATTATTCAAGGACTGCAAGACTAGGACCTACAGCTGTTTTGGAGTTATAGTAGCAGATAAGGAACACTGAATTAAGCATGGCTTTCTCTTTTTACTACTTTGCTTCATCTCCAAAATGCTCTCATTGTTAAGTGAGATTCTCTCAAAGTAAGTTACTGCACTGAGCCAGGTAGGTCTCTTTTCTTTTCTTTTCTTTTCTTTTCTTTTCTTTTCTTTTCTTTTCTTTTCTTTTCTTTTCTTTTCTTTTCTTTCTTTCTTTTTTTTCTTTCTTTTTTTTTTTAATTTCTAAAAACCAACAATGATGCACACGAATACCATGGCAGGCTCCAAAGTAGAGGAGATGTTTAAAAAGTAAGGAAATATCTCTTGGGAGTTTGGACTTCATTTTCTTCAGTGGGGTGGCTTTAAGTGGCATGGTTTCCTCTAGTGAAAATCAGTTTAAACTAATTTTGTGCTAAAAGAAAAAACATCCTTCCTTCTCCAAACGGCAAAATGATTAAAATTAGAATTTTAGAGAGGTACGTACAATCATGAATCCCTAAGCCAAAGATGAAGTAATTTCCTCCGAAATATTTTTTTCACTAAATGATTCTTGCATCTAAGAGAAAAAAACGAAGTGTATATTTTGAAACATACCATTATCAGAAGTGAAAAAGTCAACCTTACTGCTTTTTTTTTTTTTTTTTTTTTTTTAAAGATCTTTATTCCTAGTCAGGCAGATCTGTGATTTCTTTTTGTAGCACTTTTATTCCAGAATTTTGGTATTGTGTCCCAGACACTATGAGTAGAAAAGCAATAATTTTTTTGCAATAGAGAAACAAGTCAGGTAAAACAGTAGTCAAAATGCAGTTACACAATGAGGCAAACAATATATTCCCTAAAGGAGAAGACAATGGACCTTATATGCATGGAGTTATTCATATGTGACCATCAATTTAAATTAATTTGGGAACAGAGTAAGATTTATATACGTATAGTGGCTTGCAGAGAGAATTAATATCAAAATCTTCAGTAAATCTCATAGTCAGCTACTAAGGACCACCTGCATATTTTCACACTAGAGTCATTTAATACTGTCCACTGCCAATTTCCACTGTAAAAAGTATTCATATATTAAACATAGAGCTTTATTTTCTTTTTTTAAGCCATAAATTAGCTTACCGACATTTATGGAAATATGCACGGTGCAGTGAGAAGCATTTTTATTCAGGAGAAATAAAGGATCTGAGTGAAACATTCTTGAGCCATGACTAACGAAAAATATTAGATCAAATAAATTTTGAAATATGAATCCGAAGAGTAAAACGGTTTGTTTTTAAAGGGTTAATACCTCCTAGAACTGCTGAAGCTGGGATCTCCCTGATAAAAATCTCAGGCCATGGCATTTTAGCAGCAAAGTTAAATACTACAATATATCACCAGGATTAGTCCCCTGATCTATTTCTGCTCCCCAAGACTTAAAATGACATCTTAAAAGGGGAAGTGATCTTCCTCTTCGTCACTCTCACATGTAAGCCAATCATCAAGAGTGTAAATTTACTCTCCTGCAGCAAGCATTGATTAAATTGGTTTTAAAAAAAAAATGAAATTACATGCTCTTGCAAGCACAAAACCCTTGAGATGCCTGGTGTTTTTCCACCTGTAATAATACAAAATTTGACCATTAAGTGTACCCAAAATTATACATTATATAAAATGTTCAAGCCAAAGGTCTGAGAGTGAGTTATGTCCTTCAGTGGAAGGGATAAAGTTACACTTCAGGTACCGAAGCCAACAAACGCATGTTCACTTAAAAATTTAATGAATGAAGTTTCATGGACCCGGTTTTGCTGAGGTTTGCCTGAGAGAGGAAGACTCTCTTCATGTTCCTTTTTGTGTGTTGAGTTCAGCAGAGCAAAATGCTGTCGGTACCAATCCATTTACATGACCCGCCAGAGATCTGTAGAGCAGTTAGGAAAAGCACAAATATTTTTGTAAACTTTTTCAAGCAAATTATTTATTTATGAAATAACTTATGAAGAAAATTTTTACCTCATGCTTTAGATATATGGCATATGCTCTTGATTGACACAAGCTGCCTAAGCTCAAAGGCCCTCGGAGCATTTTTTAATTCTAGTAGGAATATTTCAAAACAACCAACTAATACATGAGGTCATAATTGTTTGACAGTTGTTTTTAATATATAAAATAAGTTATGTATATTGTTTTCTTTCAAATGTTTGTTGATTTGTGTGTAGAGTCCTGACATGTGCAGGGCACAAACTGAATTAGGGGAAATAGTAAAGATTTATTTACATTTATTGTCTTCTACTGTCAAACATATGCAAAGCTCTTAAAGCCACTCTCTTCCTTTGCTTTTTATTTGCAAAGTGTTTCTGAACAATAGAGCCTCCATGTCAGAGTGACAACCTGAGCTTGTATCAGCTATATCAGAAAATAAAGGGCAAGTGAAGAGACATTTTTTTAAAAAGCAAACAAAAGTAATGCCTTCCAACTAAAAGAACTTCTTTATAATCTTTTGTAATTCTTTGAATTCTGCAATATTCTTTCATGGCTGGACCTCTGGTGAAACAGTTCTTTGAGCTGTATAATGCTTATGATTTACTAAAATCATGTAGTGCATTTTTTTTGCCTGTTTTATTATTTAAACATTCTCTCCCCCCACCCCTTTTCTTGTAGTTTATTCAGCAGAGATACAAAGAGGGATTAGTAGTTAAGCAAAGCATAC